ATAAGTGCTTGTGAGTTTGATAAGATGTTAAACCAAATACTTTTAGGTTCAACTATACTTAAAGCCTAAGTGTCTGTGAGTCCGACAAGATGTAAGACCTAATACATTTACGTTCAATTATACACTAGGCTCAAATACATGTGAATGTGGCAAAATATCAGACACAACATCTTTGGGTTTAACTACGTGTTGAAACCAAGTCAAAGTGGGTTTATCAAGATGTCAGGCTCAATACTTTTGGATTCAATTATGCGCTGAGCCAAATACATATGGGTGTGATAAGATATTAGACACAATATCTTTGGATTCAGCTATACGTTAAACCTAGGTATAAGTGGGTCTGTCAAGATGCACCTTTGAATTCAGCTACGTGCTGAGCCTAATTACATATGAGTTTGACATGTTGCTAAACTTATCACCCTTATATTTGGAATCTTATTAAATCTAAATATATTTTTAGTTGATAATCTTTTTAAGCCACATGTTGGGTCATAAGAATGATCATCTTCCTGCATTAATGGATATATAAAAGTCTTGTAGATGCCTGTTATATTTTCATCAATAATTGATATTGTGTAAGAGATATATATCTCTCATTAATGTTATGTAATGAATATTTATCTCTTATTAATATTATCAGAAAAAGATGACATTCGAACATCTCCATTCAAGTAACATGATAAATTTTAAAGGTTATATATACTATTGGAATCACACAAGTAAATGATTCATATTTTTCCTATTCTCTATTCATATTTTTATTTTTATAGAGCATTTGTTATACATAACTAAAAACAAACACTCTTGTTTTTAAGAATTTAAAATTTATTCTTTTATTTATTGTAATATTTTATTAAAAATTACTGACTTTATCATTGGGTGGTCATTAAATCTCATCAAAAGTTATTGTTTTACAAGTGTTGTATATGCTATCACTAACTCATCAACTTCTTGAACGCTGAAGAAGGAAATATTAATGTAAACATGTGATTATTTTCTATTCCTGAGCATTTTGAATTTTAAAATATCATCACCTACTTTTTCAACAATTTAAGGTATAATGTTCTACGATAAATAAAAAATAAACTTCATTCAAAATCATTTATCACACTAAAAATGTTTTCTGCAATAGGAGTTTTGAACCATTTTGGCCAACTAACTGATGCTAGAATGTCATATCCTTTAAAAAAAATATTTAAGAATCCTAAGTTAAAATTGATAAGAGTCATTCGGTTATCAAAAAACATAGTAGCATCAAAGTGATACAAGATATATATTTTATTCTCATTCAACAAATATTTGATGAGAAAATTATTTTAAAAAAATCTATATATTAGACTAACACATAATTATTCAAAAAAATGATAATATCATTATAATATTCATAAATATAATGGCATACTTAGATAATCAATTACATATTATTTTAATAAAGTGAATTAAAAATAAATAAAAATCTAAGAAAAATACAAAGCATACAGGGGCTTAGAATGAAGGCCATAAGCCTTTTTTCCCAACGGATAGACAACACATCATCCATACCTCATTATATATATATATATAAACACTACGTGTCATCTTCTTATTGACTTTTCAGTCATCTTTGAACCTTTTTTTTTACATGAAAATACAAAAACATATCGTAGAAACATAAAGAAACTCATTTTAAATCTCAAAACACATAATTACTCTAAAAATTAAAAAAAAATCTATCAAAATCAAAAACAACTTTATAGGTCTCGATCTACTTTTTACGACATGTTAAAAGAAAAACACTTCTATAAACCTCTTTCTCCAAGATGAATCCACCAATACCAAGATTAGTATTTTTAGTAGTCAGAAAGTGACTTATCAAATGTTTTCTTTCCTTACTAGTTCTACATGACTTTCTCTCTCTTCTCAAATCTTAGGAACTAAAATGTATAAGAAATGAAGTTTTAGGACTAAAACGTGACTTTCAAAACATAAAGACTAAAAATATATATAAAAAGTAAAATCTTCTAAATTGTAGTTTTTCCTGCCCATGATAAGTAAGAGAAAAAAGGGTTGTTGTTTTTTTATGTTCAATCAAATCCTTGTTAATTTAATATTTTAAATAAAAGTTTTAAAAATAAATTACAACATCAAGGATCAATTTAATGTTAGGACTTTTTTTATATCATAAATACAATATCACCCAAAATAAAACAAATTATAAGGTTTAAAATCTTATCAATATGATGTAGAAGATGCAATTGAAAAAAAAAAAAAAGAGTTTAAAGACCATAACAACACAAATTTTCAAGTGCCTAAAAATAAAAAGACTACCATGTTAAAGAAGGTGTTTGGGTCTGCTGCTGCGTCTACGGTTGACATTAAAAGTTATTTTAAAGTGTTTGGTTACTATTGATCATATTTTTTTACGTGGGCCCCCCTTCTAAACTGCGGTTAGACCCTAGTTTTTAAAAAGCAAAAAACAATTGTTTTTTGATGTCGTGTTCTTCTCTCTCTCTCACTAACACTGTATAATTTTAATTAACATTGCAAAACTTTCTTGTTGGAGAGCCCATCTTCCCCTTTATTTCTAATTTGTTTTGATTTCTTTGGCCTCGACGACGATTCTGTTGAACACCATATCCTCATCCAAGATCCTTTCCAAACAATTCAAGTGGTCTGAGTTCACCAATTGCAATGGGTCATTTGATTCCATTAGATCCTTTCCAAAAGTTTCTCCCAATTTTTCTTTTAGCCCATCAATGTTGAGGAGGCAAAAATCTTTTTTTGCCCATTATCCAGTAGCCATCTTTTAATCAATAGCAGTTGTGCTCTCTCCTCCAAGTTCTAGGACAACTGTTATGAGATGCTTCGTTGCATTGGTAATTACATCCTAATCTTGTGTTGTTTTTAGGCCGAGGTAGAAAGAAAACAAAGAAGAGGCAAATGGGAAACTAAAGGGAAGAGAGGATTTGGTGCTCTACGTGGTGGTGGCTGGTTCTGAAAACTTATAAATTTTATCCGTGATTGAAAATGATGCCCTTTAAAAACAAGTATAAATACAAATTAAACATGTTTGGTTTTCATTGGTTGGTGAAAATTCATACAAGTTTTTATGTAATAATGACAACAAAACATATATTGCTTATACTATTATAATTTATTTGTATAAAAGCTTTTTTATTAATTGGTTATGTTTAGAGGTAATTTTTGTTAGAGATAAATAAATAAATAAATATATATATATATAACAAAAATTAAATACGTAGATGTTTAGTTGTATCAACGACACTATATAACTATATTAGAAGGAGATCACAAGATGATGAGGTTTTTTTCGAGTATGATCGTAATTCCAATTTTATTTTTTACCTGATATTGTACCTCGCTCAGCTATTCAAGGATCGTAGAGACCTTCACGTATGGGATTTGTACGTGATCGAATTGCAAATAGTTTGTTTTCTATATGTGTGTGTGTCCTTTTAAGTAATTTTACAATTAAATCTCATACAAAAAGCATAGTAACCAAACACATGAAACTGTTTTTTTCCAACTATAATTTCAACCACAGTTTTAACCAAACACATCAAAAGTTAAAACGAACCTCACAAAAAACACTTTTTATTAAACTGTTTTTTTGAAACCACAACCATAAAAGCAACCACAATACCAAACAGACTCGAAGTCTTCAACTGCACAAACAAAAAGAGCAAAACACTCTCTGCCTAAAAGTAAAAAAAATTCTTCAAGCATCTCCAGCTCTAAAAGGGCATAATAAATATTTTCACAGCTCAATACTATAGAGGGAATTAGATGAAGCACGCCATGGTATATTTGTGGTTTGAAAAAAAATATTTTATAAAAAATATTTTTTATTGAAGTTGATTTGGTATTTATATATATTTTGTTAAAACTATTGTTGAAATTAAGGTTGAAAAAAAAATAGTTTAATGTATTTGGTTAAAAATGCTTTTCAAATTGAGATTATAAAATAATTTTAAAAAATATATATTTATGTTGATGGTTTTTAATTTAAATATTGTAGATTTAACTACTGCTATTACATCATGAAATAAATTATACTTTATATAAAATATATTTTATTGTTCCATTAAACTATCTACAACTCCATCACGTATGAAATACATCCAATAATGACTAAAGTTTTCTTGGTTTCTTAAGCGAGCAATAACATCAGATTGAATATCATCAAGAATAAAATTAGAATTGCGATCAAATTTTGCAAATATTAAATTATTAAACAATCTCTATCTAATTTATTTAGTGTTATTGAATAATATTAAACACTAAATTTTAAAATAAAATATAATTAAAAATTTAAAAAATAACTTTTTTTATTTTACTAATCAAACTCAATTCAATACATTTAACTTTAAAGTTCATACATTTAACTTTAAAGTTCAGCTGAGACAGTGAAGCCATGCGAACAGTTAAGTGACTCCACTATTTATATTTATATATTTATATGAATTAAAATGAATAGTGGAGAGTAATGCACCCTCCACAAAAGCTACTCCGCAAAAAATTTTTTCTCATCTTGCGTTATAAATGTAGAATCCAATAGACCTTATAAACAATAAATTATATTTTTTCATTACCGAACATAATTTATTCATTACCAAATATGTTGCAACTATATTTTAAATAAAATACAAATACAATCTCCTAAACAACGGTGTGGAAAACCAGGACCATCAGTAGCTTGGTGAGAGAGCAAAATTAATCTTTGTTTTTATACACTGGCCAAATAAGTTCATTGCTCCAACCTGGAACAATATCAATCCAACATGCACCACATCAACTCCCAGCAATTCAACGAATAAAGTGACAAGTCTAGCATTCCGAGCCCACCAAGCAAAACCTGTGATTTCTTAGTCGAAACCAGCTAAACTGGAGTTCCAAAGAGCTTCTCACGGGATAACACCCCCTCAGAGATTATAATTTTTTTTATAATATAATCATTCACGCATTGCCGTGGTCACGGTGCTAGCATTCAACCGGGAAAATATCAACCACGAATTTCAGAAAAAGTATATTGGATCGAAAACTCAACATAACACCATTAAGAGTCACAGAGAACATAAGATTAAGAACGATGTAATTTAAAAAAAATGGATACCACTTCAAAATCACAGGAAGCATATGAAAGAACACAAAATCCTTTTAAATGACTCTTAAGAAGCAGCAGCTTTATCCTCCTCTGCTGCAGCTTCAAAGGTCTCTCCAGGCACAAGATCAGGGACTTCATCATCATCATCCTGTGCTGCCACGGCAGCACCTGCACCAGGCACTTGCTTCTGGATCTGTTCCTCCAATTTCTTCAGGTTTTCCAAGTTATCAGGACCTATAGATCAGAGAAACATAATAAATTAGGAGTTATTACCAAGTGTCAGTTACAATTCACAGATGATTACAGAGAATGAACTCAAAAGAGCATACCTAAATGCCCAAGAACTTGTGAAAGAATATCTTGCAATTCTGAAAAGGAAAAATCACAACAAATTTGCATGTCAAATCTCATGCAAACAAAAGGAGTAAACTAATAATTAGTTGTACATGTCCTTTGAGAAAACCAAATTCAACATGGCAAGATCAAGAACATTTAACCACTGGCCACTGGGTGAGTGGAAAATTTCTTGTGTTCAACCAATTAACAGAAAAGATTTACTTTTCATTTCTGGGTTCACATAGAAAGTCTTAGAGCCATACTCTTAGTTTGTGGAGAACCACTAACAACCCATGTGTTGGCAGCAATGGATGCTTGCACTGAAAAATTAAAACCAAAATAATAATTAGCCACTAATTGATCAGAAGGATATGAACAATGTGAGCATATCATGTTCCATATATGGTAGTCAGCTTTACCTTTGGGATTTAGAAACTGGATAACAATGTCATCCTTGAATATGTTGACTTCCTCGATTGCAGGTATAGCATTCACTCCAATTCTCTTCAGGGTGCTCTGAAGCCTTTTATCATCTGTAGTAGTAGTCTTGTGGACAGCTTTCTTCTTCCTGCAGTTAAAGGTACAAATTCAAAAGAAACTCATTAGCAGCACACAACAGAAGCGTACAACACAGCAGCCATGTAATCTTTTCTTTAACAGTAACTTCAATTGCTTCATAGAAACATGTGTTCAGATTTTCAATGCAAAATACCCAACTGCAAGCAATACTCTATAGAACCAGGAAACAGATACTTCTCACACAAGCCAGAAAACCATTCAAGTTGTAATCAGCATAAGAACACAGATAAAACATGCCCGCAGCCAGACCCACACAAATCTCATTCAGTATGCTGCTCAGCTGAATGTCCGATATGGCACTTTCACTTAAAACAATTCCTTCCATTAATTTACACTTCTTTCATTACTCAGCCACTTGATGTGAACACAATATAATTTAGCTAATTGATAAATTCCAGTGAGAGCTAGAATAGTTGCCATGGAATAGTCTTCCCACCTTCTCACACTACCCTTTCCACCAGTGCGAACTGCAGTGGCCATCTTCATAAGCTTCTCCCGATCCATCTATATAAAAGAGAATAAGGATTACAAAGAAAAGAATTGTACAATGCATTGACCAATTAAAACCTGAACATGAAAATGCTTACGAGGAATTCGAACAAAAGCACTATGTATACAGCACGAACCAAACCACCACAAGATTATTAATCGCCCGCATGTTCCATTAAACATTCATGATAACAGAATATAATGTAAGGGTGACAACTTAAAAACTGCATTTTTTTAACCATAGAGAAAATTGAATTACTAGAAGACATCAAAGGAGAAAATAGCCTGGCACCAAAAGTCTAACATTCCATGTTCAGGGCAATTTGTCAGCACATTTTGTTGAATATCATGGGTCATAACATCTGCCCTGCCCCCAAAAAATCCCAAACAGCAGTAAAACTCAGACCCTCTTTTACCTATTATTACTAATATACCAAGTTTGACTAAAATCTAGAAAATGAAAAGGATAAAAGAACAAAATATAAGTGAACTAAAGGCGACAAAAAATAAGCTCGTGTTTATATCATAAGAGCTTAGGAATTTGAATTGATAAAAAAAAAAAGACTAGAGCTTCCAAATGGAAGAAATCATATCCACTAAATCCTCCTAAAACAGCTTCCACACGATTAAGCTTAAGACTCTAATATTTTGGTTCTGATTGTTATTGAAACTATTTTGATTTTATGCTTTGGTATAATCAGGTGGTTTTATAATAATTATAGGCAACTCTAGGAGAGCAAGAATTAACAGCTAACAAGTTCTTATCAAACTAGAGATTATAAAGCAAGTTCCACAAACTCAAGAAACACAGTCCACCAAAACAAGTAAACAAAGTAGCAAATCCAGTTATAAGTAGTTAATCAATTTACTTAGCAGATAAAACCATTATTAAACCTTCAGTAATAATACTTCGAAATGGGCTTAAATTTTCGTACTTCACTCAAATCTTGATAGTTTAACTTCAAAACAAACCAAATTAATCACATTATGGGTAACAAAACAACTTCATTAAACATCATAGTCAAAAGCCCTAAACAGAGATTGACAGTTTCTTTTCACTTCAAACCACAAAAACCATCAAATCAAGCTCTACAGGCTTCAGCAAGGAAAACCCATATCACCAAAAACCACTAAAAAAAAAAGAAAAAACTAGTATTAACTAGAAATGAATAAAAAGATGCAAACTTGAACAAGCAAAGACTTGGAAAAAAATCCCAGATAAAAGATAAAAGCAACGGAATTAAAAGCCAATGTAAAAAAATATGAATGAATCTAGGGTTTTCAGGGTTTTTGTTTACCTTAGTTTGTTTATTGGGATTTGGGAGATAGGTAGGAGAGTGTTTTTTCAGCTCTCAATAACAGGCGGCGATAAGGGAGACCCTTTTTATGCGCTGTGTACATGAGCGTTTTTAAAGAGAATCTCTGACGGTGCGTATGCAATCAATTTGCACGTGTCAACATCTTGAGGATATTTTCTGTACACTTTCTTTTTTTGCTGTGCACTTTAGCATCTCTCCTCTCACTGCCTCTGCGTTTAAGGCCCCGTTTGTTTGCAGGAAAGTTATTTTCTTTTGGAAAGTGAATTCCAGAAAAAGTGAATTCCGGGAAAGTGAATTCCGGGGAAAATGAATTCCTGAAAAGTAAAGTATTTTCCGATGTTTGGTAGTGTTATGAAAAATGAACTGGAAAACACTTTCCAGTGTTTGGTTATGTCATGGAAAATAAACTGGAAAATAATTTATTAATATTTTATTTTTCTCAAGTTTATTAAAATAATAAGGAATAAATCTTACAAATTAAAAAGTTGAATAATAATGAAATTGAAAAAAAAATCATAAATTATCTCAAATAAAATAAATAATAATCAAAATAATAAAGATCAAATCTAAAAAAAAAGATGAAGAAATTAAAATAATAATAATTAACATTTCATAAAGTATTTCAAATAAAATAAATAACAATCAAAAGAATGAGGACCAAATTTGATAGAAAAAAATTTCAATAAAAAAATAATAGGAGAAAAGCAAATAACAATTATAAAAATGAGAACCAAAG